GCACATGTGCCTGGTGTGAGTTCAAGCCACCGGGTTCAAGACTCGAACCACGGTCGACCACATGGGAGTTCAGAGACATGGCCATTATGCTAACTGCTGGTCCTACCAGTGTTTTCTTTATTTTTCAAGAATTATTTTATTTAACTTTATTTATTTACTGTTATTATGTTCCAGTTTAGTTAGACTGAGAGACAGAGAAAGTAAGCCACAGGACTTGAACTGTGCTTGGCAATGTGGGAGTCTGGCACCTTTAACCACCACACCACCTGCCGACCCCCACTGCAGTGTTTTAAAACTCAATCTTTGAAATTCTTCCCTCCTTTGACTTTACTTATATTCCTCATCCTCCTAGCATTACCTATCTTTATCCCTGGTTCCCCTCTTCCATCACCTGCCCCAATTACTAAAAAAGGGCTCCACCTTCAGCACTTTTCATTCTGACCATGCCCCAAGTGGTGCAATATCCATACCTGTGGCCTCATCTCACCACGAGGATCTTGACCCTCAAGTTGTTATTTCCAGCCTTGATAATCTAAAGTACCAGATCTATATAGATCCAAATGTCTATTGTGTACTTCCAATATGCCCAAATTTACAATCTTTTCCTTAGATACCTGTCCTTTTTCCTGTATTCCTCTTTTTTTGGGAGAGGCTTTTTTGCTATACGATGCCTGTGCTTGCCAGAAAGACAAAAGAGAGAGACGAAGAGACAGAAAGTGAGATATCACTGCCTCCCCCCAGGGGGGATGGCCACACCGCAATCTCTTCTCCTCTTGGGATCTTGGACACGCATGCACGCGCACCTGGCGTAAGTTTAAGCCACCAGGTCTGAGACTCAAGCCGTGGTCAACTACATGGGATTCCAGCAACATGACATTATTCCAACTGCTGGTCCCTCTCTATTCCTTTTTTTGATTAATAGCACTATGCACCCAAGTGACCAATGTTAGAATCCAGGTTTTTATCCTAGGTTCCTCCTCCTCACTCAATGCCAACAAGACTAACTGCTCTACAACTCCAACTGTTCTATATTCTTCATATTCTGGTTGTTGTTTTTTTTCTTCTACAACTTAACTTATTGCTTTGTCCTTCATCTTCTAATAACTCCCAAATAAGAAGATACAATGTATTTCTTCACATATTAGAGGACTATCATATGAATCAATTGTAAAGCGAACTTCTTACCTTTGCTCCCATTTCTACAAGTTGGTTTGTAAATGTCTTTGAATAATTTTCTGCTCCACTGGATGACCACACTTCAACATAGGCCACTACATCTGAAATCAAGACATTAGCATGAAACACATATTTGTTCTTCCAGTATCCTCTGTCTGACAGACTTTTCTCTGCTCTGTTTATATTCAAAAGCAAATTTAAATTTCTTCTATTAAAAGCTTATTCAGGGCCAGTCAGTGGCAAAGTGGTTTAGGTGGCTAGATTCCACATGGCTGACTGCTGGGAGCTAGCAGCTTCAAAAATGCTCCAAGTGAGAGTACATGAATGCCCCAAATCCCAGAGGAGAATGGAGGAGAGAGAACTGTGGCATGGCCATCTGTCCCGGGGAGTGCTTTCTCACTTTCCCTCTCTACCTCCCACTCTCTCCACCAAGTATAATGTGCCCTACAGCAAAGTTAATAATAACAGGGACCAGCAGATAGCATAATGGTTATGTCACTGGACTCCCATGGTTTGAGTCCAGGACCTGGGGACATGAAACTCATGCCAGGTGTGTGTGCATGCGTGCCCAAAATCCTGAGAAGGGAAAGGAGGAGAAGGAATTGCCGCGTGGCCATCCCCCCAGGGACTGATTTCTTGTTTTCTGTCTCTCTTTCTCTCTTTCTGGCAAGTACACATGCCCTGTAGGAAAAATCTCTCTTAAAAAAAAAAATTAGGAGAACCAGCAGTTAGCCTGATGGCTGTGTTGCTGGACTCCCATGTAGTCGACCGTGGTCTGAGTCCCAGACCCGGCAGCTTAAACTCACGCTGGGCGCACGTACATGCGTGCCCAAGAGGCATTCTCCTGAGAGGAGAATGGAAGAGAAGGGATTGCGGAGTGGCCATCCCCCCCGAGGGATGATTTCTCGCTTTCTGTCTTTCTGTCTCTATCTTTCTGGTGAGCGCATGTGCCTTATAGCAAAAACCTCTCCAAAAAAAAAAAAGAAAAAAAAAAAGGGCATTAGGACCACCAAAGACCTTATGCCCAGACTTCACCCTCTTGACCCCCAGATCTAGCCAGGAGCCAGGTTAGAACACCCTATTTATTCTGTTTCTCTCCATCTCTATATATTTTTAATTAAAAAAAAAAAAGTGAAACTTCTTAGATCTCTGCTGCTCTTGTCTTACTAATTCTTACCTTTTCCCTGTCCCCATAGGACAAGTCAATCAGCAGTATCTCTATCTGAGTTTTGAGCAGCTCCATTCATTTTTATTTCTTGATCGAAATTTTTTTTCTTGTTTTTAACTTTTTTTTTTACTCTCTTTCTCTTTTGGTTTTTCTTTTCCTTTTCTTTCTCTTTTTACCTCTCTCACTTTTCTGCTCAGCCTCCACACATTAATTTTCTGAACAGGCCAAGGTGATCAGTAGCCAAATATCTGAATACTTTTAGGGTCAGATTAATCCTCAATTTCCATTGAATCAGTTGCACAAAGGGAGAAAAATGGTACTGTGTAGAGACTGCAGGTGACCTTCTCCTGCATTTTCCTCGCTGAGATTTAACTCCAAAATCAAGGAAAAACATATAATCCATCAGATGACCAGAAACCACTGCAGAGGCACAAGAAATATAAGAAACCAAGAAATTATCTCTCCCCTAAGGGAAAAGAGTAACTCCTCATCTTTGACAGACAATACAAGGGAACTCTAAAGAATTTAGAATATTCATAGTGACAAAGTTAACAGAGATGCAAGAGAAGAGAAACAATGAACTACAGAAAATGCAGAAGAGACTACTTCCAGGAGGTGAGGAAGTTCTTGCAGGATCTGAAAGAGGAGATACACATCATAAAAAGGAATTAAATGGAATTGTTAGAGATGAAGGCTGTAATACAGGAAGGAGATTAGATCATGCAAAAGAAGATTAGATCATGCAGAAAATCGAATCTCAGATGTAGAAGCTAGAACCTCAGACCTAGAAAAATTCACCAGAAAGATTGAGAAAATAACCCCTCGAAATGAAAATAATATACAAGTAATACTAGATACCATTAAATGCCCAAATGTCAGGATCATTGGTATCCCAGAAGGTGAAGAATCTAGTAAGAGCACTAATAATCTATTCCATGAAATCCTGGAAGAAAACTTTCCAACAGAGAGAGGCACTTAAATATCTAGACCCAAGAAATACAAAGGACCCCACATAGAATCAACCCAAGAAGGATCTTCCCCCAGTCACATCATAGGCAGATTGGCCAAAACCAGAGACAGATGCTAAATTTGGCAAGAGAGAAGTGTCAAGTTACTTTCAAAGGATATCCCATCAGGCTAATGTCAGACTTCTCATTGGAAACAATGCAAACAAGGAAAGAATGGGAAAATACATTCAAAGTGTAAAGCGAAAAACCATTTCAACCAAGAATACTATACCCAGCAAGATTATCTTTCATATGGGAAAAAGACAAAAACATTCTCAGATAAATAAAACCTGAAAGATTTACCAATATCAGACCAGGTCTCTAAGAAGTGCTGAAGGGAATGCTATACCAGGAGAACTAAAGTCGGAATCACAGAAATAAGAGTACAAAACACAACCAAAAGAATGGCCAACCTAATGGTAGGGACAAGTCTGGAACTGAATGTTAACTTTCAGAGTTCAAATGAAAAGATCAGACCACAGTAACACGGCAAATTCAATAGAAGGGAGATTAATTACATGGGACTGAACTAGTGAAATAGAATAATTTGACTTTATACTAAAACATTATTGATTTTCTTCGATGCTTTGATTTCCATATTTAAGGATTTTTGTCTTCTCTTGAACTGTTGATAGGTTCATCTACCTACTATTTGAGCTAAATTCCAATTTCTTTTAACGGTTTTTGATTTTGGTCTATTAAAACTAAAACTATTTTTCTGGAAATTAAAAAAATGCATTAAGGGACCAGCAGTTAGCGTAATGGTTATGTCGCTGGACTCCCATGTAGTCGACAGCAGTTCGCGTCCCGGACCCGGTGTCTTAAAACTCACACCGGGCACGTGTGTGTGCGTGCCCAAGATCCCGAGAGGAGACTGGAGGAGAAGGAATTGCAGCGTGGCCATCCCCCCTGGGGGTTGATTTCTCGCTTTCTGTCTCTTTCTCTCTCTTTCTGGCAAGCGCACGTGCCCTACAGCAAAAACCTTTCAAAAAATTCATTAAAAATATCTATTAATACCTATTTAATGACTGCAGTAAGCTATATAGCCCCAGCTAGGTGCTACTTTATAGTATGTTCACTTTACTCACTGAGGCTTACACCTAAAGTCATGTGTTCATAGATATGTATATATTAGCTGTGCTTGCTATTCGAAGTTTTTAAATTAATTAAGATCTTTAGTGAATCAATAAAATGTGAAAAAAAGGAATGGGAAACAACTGTAGATATTAGCGAGTGTGGGAGAAGTGGGGGAATTGGCAGAAGGTCAGAGGTAGGGAATCAAGGGAGGAAAAAAGCAAAATACATAGGAATCAAGAAATAGAAAATTATTTGTTGACAATAACGTGTGTGGTAATATCCTTGACTAAGCCAATATACAGTGTATTCTGGGTGGAAAGTTTCATTTTGTAGACTGTATTGATGTACTGTGAATGACTAAATAAATAAAAAATAAACCAAATAAATTAATAAAAAACTTATTCAAAATAACATCAATACAATTTATGATTCTTAAAATTTTAAGTCAAGGACGATGTTACTCATATACATGTAGCAGTTTATATTTCTAACATTTGTTTTCCTCCCCATATTCCTAAATTATCTTACTTTTTCCCAGGGAGGGGTTTGTTTTCCGTGAATGGACAATTAGCATTCTTTATCTTTGCTGTTCGAAATCCACTTCAATGAAGTGAAGTGTAGACATTGTATCAGGTATTATAAGTAAACTAGAGATGATTTAAAGTACACAGGAAGATAAGGAACTTATCCATGGACACTGGTATCTGCAGGAGTACTAGAACCTATCTCCTATGGATACTGAGGGCTGATCCTATTTTAGGCTTTTCTAAGCCATTTAGTATCTGTCACAACTACTTAACTTCCTTGTCATAGCACAAAAGTAGCCACTGGCAATATATTAATAAGCTAGTTAGCTGTATTCCAATAAAACTTTACAGAAAGGGAAATTTGGATGATGTCATTTTGTCTTCCATTTTTTCTCTTACCCTGAAAATGTTAAGAGCTTTTAGGCCTTACAAAAAAAACAGCAGCACACCAGATTTGGCTTGGGAGTGGGAGATACAGTTTGTGGAACCCTGGTCTAGTGGATAGCTTCTTCTCAAAATTTGATGTTTATTGTTTTTAGGTTTTTTTGTCATAGGGCACCTCCATCTGCTAGAGAGAGAGAGAGAGAGAGAGAGAGAGAGAGAGAGAGAGAATGTGAGAAATCACCCTTCCAGGGAGAATGGCCACATTGCAACCCCTTTTCCTTCATTCTCCTCTCAGGATTTTGGGTGTACACACACATGTACCTGGCTTATTTTTCAAACCCCTCTCCAGACTCCAACTGCTGAGTCAGCCATGTGGGATCCAGCTTAGCTCAACCTGATGTTTGAAAATAATTTTTAAGGTATCCCATTGGTAAATAATAGGGAACAATGCAAAAGGAAGAAAAAAAATTGAGAGGTTTTTGGTATAGGGCGCATGCAATCACCAGGAAGACAGAGAGATAGAAAGCGAGAAATACCCACCCCCCCCCCCACCCCCCAGGGGTATGGCCACACCGCAATCCCTTCTCCTCCATTTTCCTCTCGAGATCCTGGGCACGCACGCACACACACGTGCCCAGTGTGAGTTCAAATCACTGGGTGCGGGACTCGAACCGCGGCTGACTACATGGGAGTCCAGAGACATAGCCATGACACCAACTGCTGGTCCCGCAAAAGTAAAATTAACACAACAGTAATGTTAGAAAAATAGACCACATCTCATTATAGCATTTGTATAAAACCTCTGACCTTTTTGTTTGGGTAAAATTAAAAATAAAAAAAGGAAATATCCTAGAAGCAGTAGCCTTAGGTCTTGTGGGTTAGAAGTTTATTTTTCTGCTCCTAATCTTCCATCTGCTCCACTCTCCTAAATTCACCAGGCCACTCAAATGGCCTGAGAAACTCAAGAAAAGCTAAGAATCCACCCGTTCCTCAGGCCGCCTCCTCACACAGTGAGGCCAAGCCTGACTTTTCCCCAAGGCCCCCACCTGTGACTGCGCTGCCCAGTCCCACCGGGTCCAGGTGGCTGGGGGCCTGCGGGATTGGCGGTCCACCTGGACTCATCTAGCCCCAGGCACCGACTTCCGGGAGGGCCAGGCTGCTCAGCACGTGCCCCGCGAGCCCGCCTCACGCGCGAGTGGGAGTCCGTGGACGCAGGCAGGAAGGGGGGATGGGCCGGGCGATGACAGGCAGTCCGGGAAGAGGGCGAGTAGGGGCCGCTCGCCCAGCTCCCCAGAGTGCGCGGGCGACCGAGGGAGCCGGTGCTCGAACCCACCCACTAGCCGCAGAGGCGGCCCCGCGCGCCCAGGAAGTAAGAAGTTCCCTCACCTTTTAGGATAGAGCTCCCCGGGGTTCCGGGGACGGCCATGACGGACGGCGGGATCCGGACCCCACCGGACCTCCGGCGGCGGGACGAGCCTGACAGAGAGGGCGGGCACTGGGCATGCGCAGGCAGCGCGCGTCGCTCCTCTCCGCGTCCCGCAGACGTCCGCTCGTCCGCGTTTTCTACACAGCCGAGAGGGGCGTGGGGGAAGCGGAGACTCGGAAAGTTGAGAAAGGGGCTGTTTCTGCCGGCGGACTGAAACGCGCCTCGCCCCCAGATAGCGGGTCCGCGAGCCTGTCAGCCCTTTTGGGAATTACGAGAATAGGTGCCCCATAAAAAGCCCTTCTATGTCTACACGGTGACTTAGAAGCGTCCCGGCTCCTCACCTGGCCCACCTGGGAGCCGGGCCTTCGGAACTGGGGACGCAGAGTTACATCCGCGCAGACTGAGTGGTACCTCAGACCATGACTTGGCTCGGTTTCCACACTGTGAGTCACCCTCGCCCCGCACCTAGAGGTCTCCGCGAGTGACATTCGCACCTGTGATCAGTGTTGAGTGACAGCTCAGGGCCTGGCGTACGCTGGACCGGACTTCAGATAAAGGCACCCCAAAACGTCAGGCTCAGGCAGGTCTCGGACCACCGAGCCGCGGGGGTCCCCACTGGCCGGCGGCCCCCACGGAGCTGCGGCCTCGGGGCGGCAGGCGAGCCCGGCGCTCCGGAGAAGTCTCCGCCCACGCCGCCCAGCGCGAGCCTCTTCGAACCTCCCGCCGCCGAGCTCCGCGAATCCTCGCTGGAAGCCAGGGCCGGCAGGTCAGCCTTGCTTGTCTGTTGATAAGAGTTCTCTGTTTAATCTCCCTGAAACACTGGCCAGTTCAGGGACCCTGCTTATGGAAAAATGAGCCAAGTGTGCAAAAACGTTCTTTACCAGTGAGTTCAGTACTTTTTCTGTGTTCCGTCATAGAAAACATTCCATTCCCAAACTTCATGAAAACGCAGTCTTGAAAATTAAGATTCCCATAATATAATCGAGTGGTTAGTGGTACAGTCTCTGTTGTGGAGTCAGGCTGGATCTGGTTTGGAAACTTACATCAGCAACTAACTACGAAAACTGATGAGTTTCTAAACTCTCCCGGCTTCATTTTCCTGACACAAGAACTGTCTCTTTGTCCCACCTTGCCAGCTCCCAGGAGAATTTGTCTTCATTAACCCAAGCTTTGTTGCCTAGTTTACAATGAGGGTCTTTGCTTTCTTAAGCTGTCTTTGGGAGAAATGTCACAAAAAGGGGAAGGATGGTTTTGAGCTTCTGTGGCACAGTGTGGAACGTTCTGTTGGGCTTTTTGATGTTAGTGGGAATGGGCAGTCTGTCTCTATGGCAGTGGAATTCATAGGAAGCTTCCTTACATGGATTAATGGCAGCTGGATTTTCTGGAGGCTCTGCTTTTGTTAGGTAAGGGAAATTCAGATAAGATTTCTTTCTGCACCATTTTTAGAACAATAATTTCACTGTTAAATAATTTATACAAAAAAAACACAAACAAAAATTATACAAATGGTGGGGGTTGGAGTGCATCCCCTATCTGTAGTAAAAACAGATTTGCTTCTGGGGCTAGCAGATAGCATAGTGGTTAGTCGCTGGACTCCCACGTGGCTGACTGCCATCTGAGTCCTGAACCCAGGGCTTGAAACTCACACTGAACACATATGCTTGCCTGCCCAAAATCCCAAGAGGAAAAGGGATTGCTGCGTTGCCAATTACCCCCAATCACCCCTCCCTGCTGGGAGTTCTCACTTTCTCTGTCTCTCTGGCAAGCGCATGTGCCTTATGGCAAAAAAAAAAAAAAAAAAAAAAAAAAAAAGTCTTAAAAAAAAAAAGACTTGCTTCTTTGTTTCTCTCTCTCTCTCTCTTTTTCCTTCTCATTCCCCTCTCAGGATTTTTGGGCACACACACACACACACACACACACACGCCCAGCATGAGTTTTAAGCTGCCAGGTCCAGGACTCAAAACTGGGATTTACTACATGGGAGTCCATCGATGTAACCATTACATCATTGGCTGGTCTCTGCTTCTTCCTTTATAATCTGAATGTCTTTTATCTCTTTTTCTTGCCTGATTATGATGGCTAGAATCTCCAACCTGTTGGTTTTCAACTGAGGGACAATTTTGTTTGAAGAGATACTTGGCAATGCAAAGGTATTTTTGCTTGTTATAATCCAGGAGGAGCACTGTGCTTCTGGTATCTAGTGGATAGAGGCCAGGCAGGCTGCTAAACATTCCACAGTGCAGAGAACAGCCACCAAAATGAATTATCCAACCTAAAACGTCACTGGTAATGAGACTGAGAAACCTGGTCTAGTACAACGTTGAATAGAAATAGTGAGTGTGGTCATCCTTGCGTGGTTCCCAATCTTAGGGAGAAAGCATTCCTTCTTTCTAGTTAATTGATGTTAGCTGTAAGCCTTTCACAGGTGCCCTCAGAAGATGAGAGAGTGCTTTCCTTCCTAGTTTGCCTAGTCTTTTGTTTATTTCCCTTTATTCATGATAGAGCATGTGCACTTGAGATCTCGAGAATGAGATGATTACCTGCACCAGTCCTGATCACACAGTGATCTCCAGTTCTCCAGTCCTCCAGCCCATCAGATCTTGGGCATTCATGTGAATGCCTATCATATTTCAGGTTTACTAGGCCAGGGATTTAATTGCTGTCACCATATAGGATCTGGCTTCTCTTGAGCTGTGCATTACTGCTTCACTTATAGATACAGCCTAAGAGTTTTATTTTTAAAATCGGAAATGGATGCTTGACTTTGTCAAATGCCTTTTCTGCATCTATTGAAATGATCATGGGGTTTATGATATTTTTCCTAGTTTTTCAAACAGTGAGTTACATTGACTAATTTTTGAGTGTTAAAATAACTGCATATCTATGATAAGCCTCACTTTATTGTGATGTATTATCCCTTTATTATATTGTCAGATTGGTTTTGCTAAAATTGGTTTAGAATTTTTGCATATATGTTTATGTTGAATTTTGGTCTGTAGTTTTCTTGTAATGGAAGCTTGGAGATTTAAGGAGGAATAAAAATAATGAAAGATGCTAAAATTTTGGTAAGCCTAAATGAATATTGATTATTTAAATAAAAATAACACAAATATTGATTTTATAAAACAATAGCAGTCTTAGGAAATTAAATACAGTGTATTTATAGTAATAATGCATAATAATGGTATATTGGTCAGCAATCTTATGTTGTTAAAGTACTCTAAGGTCTTTTCCTCTTACAGGAAATAATAAAAGTTCTCATTTTTATTGTAGTTTGATAAGGTAAGGATATTTCTTGAAATTCCTAGGGAAAAAAATGAAAAAAAATTAAAGACTGTATAACTACCAAAATAATAAAGGGAGAACTGCAATAATAAAGTATAATTTATTCAGAGAAGAAAGAAAGAGAAAAAATATAACAAGCAGAGTAATACACCTAAGAGGGTAGATTTAATGTCAAAAGCATCAATATTTAAAGTGTCAATTCCTTATGGAATAATAGAAAAATATGTAAAGATAATAGAAAAATATGTAAAGAATATAAGAAGGTGTTAAATACTCTTGAAAGACCAAAAAAGTAAAATCAAATAAATAGATATCCCTTGTTCTTGGATAGAGTACTTAACATTATTATGATGTTTGTTCTTCTTTTAATGTACAATAATTATAGTAAGACATACTGATGAGCTAGACAAGTTAATACTAAAGCTTGTATTAAAAACAAATATGAAAGTCTAAGAAGTCACTGAGGAAAACATGAGGACTAACCCTACTATAAATAGAAAACATACTAGAAAGCCCCTATTGTTAAACCGTATAGTACTAGTGCATGACAAGACAAGGAGACCAATGGAATAGAAGGAAATGTCTAGGGTAAATCCAAGTGTATAGATAGTTGATAGTTGGTTTGTGTAAAGGTGGTACTTCAGGACCAGCAAATGCTGTAATGTTACATCACTGGACTCCCACATAGTCGACTGCTATTCGAGTCCTGGACCTGGCGACTTAAAACTCACACTGGGCCCATGTGCATGTCCAAGATTCTGAGAGGAGAATGGAGGAGAAGGGTTTGCAGCTTGGCTATCCTCCTCAGGAGTGATTTCTCACTTTATGTCTCTCTGTCTCTCCGGTGAGTATACACACTCTGTAGTAACTATCTCTCTTAAAAAAAAAAAGAGAGAGAGAGAGAGAGAGAAAGAAAGAAAGAAAGAAAAGGTGATAATTCAAATCGCTGTATCAAAAATTAATTAATTTCGGGAACCAGCAGTTAGCTTAATGGCTATGTCACTGGATTCTCATGTAGTCGAACACAGTTCACGTCCCGGACCTGGTGGCTTAGAACTCACGCCAAGCACGTGTGTGTGCATGCCCAAGATCCCGAGAGGAGAGTGGAGGAGAAGGGATTGCTGCGTGACCATCCCCCCTGGGTGGTGACTTCTTGCTTTTTGTCTCTCTGTCTCTGTCTGGCGAGCGCATGCCCTATAGCGAAAACCTCTCAAAGGAAAAAAAAATTAATTAATTTCTAAATAAATGACTCTGGAAGAGTTGGTCAGTGAGGAAAATATAAAACTGAATCAATAACTCATATGTAAAAATAAAAATGGATCAATTATAGATATAAAAACATAATATGGTATAGATGAACAAGTTCTAAAAACATGGGCAAATACTTGAAACCACTTAAATACTCATATAAAATAATTGAATAAACTATGTTATGCCTACATAATGCAGCACTTTGCAGCTATAAGAAAGTTAATGAGACTTTTATGAAGTTATATGCAATAATTTGCAGGATATATCATTAAATAGAAAAGCAAAGTACAAAAATATATACTTAGTATGTGTTATGAGTTGAAGAGTGTCTTTCCAAGATTCATAGGCTGAAGTCTTAACACCTAGTATTCCAGAATGTGGCCTTATTTGGAAACAGAATTGTTGCAGATATATGGAGTTAAGATGAAAGAATACTGGGGGCCAGACAGTGATACTATGTGAAACAATAGGAAGTTTCCTAGCTCAAGTTTGGAGACTTACTGGGTATGCTAATCCATGATCCAGGGTTGGCTAAGAGCTGGGAGCGGGCCACAGTATCAAGATCTTGTTGGGGGTGTGATCTCTGTCCATCTCTCTCTGTCCCTGTGTTTCTCACTCATGGAAGAAAGAAACATATTCACTTAAAAAAATAGATGAGAGCTTACTGGAGTAGGGTGGGCCCTAAATTCAACAGGACTAATGCTCTTATTAAAAGGGACTGGGGCTTACTCTGTGGCATAGCAGTAATGCATTGCTCAAGAGGAGCTAGATCCTACATGGTGACTAAGGTTTGAATCCTGGAACCTGCCATCCTGAAACATGCTGTTCATGTACACAAGTGCTCAAGATCCAACAGGCTGCAGGACTACAAGATCTTCTCATGTTATGACCAGACCCTGTGTAGGGCGTGCCTCTCTCTCACCCTCATGTGTGCACAAATGTACTCTATATGGATAAAGAAGAAAAAAGGAAATTTGGACACAGAGAGAACACTAGGTAAGGATCAAAGTTATGTTACCACAAGCCAAGGAACTACCAGAGGCTAGGAGAGAGGCCTAGAACAGTTCCTTTCCTAACACTTTGAGAGGGAACCTGGGCCTACTGGCATCTTGATTTTGGATTTCCAGTCTTTAGAACTGTGAGAGAATACATTTCTATTTAAGCCAATCAGTTTGTAGTACTTCATTGCATCAGC